GCAGCGGCAACAAATAGCATATCTGAGAAACAGAAGAAAAAATACAGATATAAGAACCAACAGAAAGTTCAAGGTCAAGGTATCCCTGACTCTCCCACAGCAACTCCAAACGACGGCAACACCTGCAAAAGGAAAAGAATCAACGGCCTGCAGAGGCAACCTTCGCCGGCGATGAACGCAGCCTGAATCGTCGGCTACTGCTGAAAAAAAAAACTCCTTCCCAAGAGTCAGATCGACTCCTCTTCCGTCGAACAGGTGGGAGAAAATAAGAGGGATCTGGCCGCAAACATCCACCCAGCTTCCGCTCACTTCACGCCCGCACGACAAAGACGGCTTAGCTTACCTCCGCGTCCGCGTGTCTAGACGGCGTCTCGCTTCTATCTCATATCATCACGCTCTGTCTGCTCCAACAGCCGCCCTCGTCGAGTTCCTCTGGTCGCGTGAAGCTGACTCGCTGTTGAACCTCCTTTGCGCGATTTGTCAATCCCAGCCCTCCCCGCGCCGCGAAACGACAACCCACCTCTCTCCGCGTAAGAAAGGAAGAAGAAGAAGAAGGGAATACTCCCAGCGCTCTCCGCGCAACAAGACGGTAAACCCGATCTCTCCGCAGGGAAAGGGAAAATTGCAGATGCAAAAAAAAAAAAGGCAACAAGCAACCCGCGGGATCTCCATCTGCCTCCGCTCGCGGCCCAATCTATCGCCCCTTTCGCGGCAAGACCGTCTCGCTCCACGACGCACAGGCACTAAGCCCGACTTCAACACGCGTCCGGCCCACTTCAAGCTTTGGCAATGACACCACAAAAATAAATTTGCCTCCGCCAGGATTTGATCCAGGGTTCAGAATCAACCAGACGGACGTGCTAACCAGCCCGTTGCAACATCACTTTGCCAAAGAAGGCAGCAGAGTTTATATTTAAAATACTCCGCCACCACCAATGAAGTGAACAATCCCTGACTCGCGGACAAACTCCGTCGAGCCCCCGCGCACCTTAGCCCGCTTCGCAGCACCTTAGCCCGCTTTGTAGCTCGCGGCCCACTTCCGCTCGACCGCTCAGCTCGCGGCCCACACCATGTCTTCCACCCCACTCCATCTCGCGGCCCAATTCGTACTTGGCCCACCACAAGCGCGGATCCAAGCTTGCACGAGGGTCTGACACTACTCGCATCCCCTAGCACACGTGGGCCCAACTCGCGGATCGGCCCATACTCGCGTTCCCGACCTGCCGAGTCCGGAAATATGTTGTCGCCACCAGGGCTTGAACCCGCGCCATTTCTCCACATGGCGTGGATGTCAACCAGCAGACTAAGCCGATTGTTAGTACTAAAGCACGGCGCTCTTCATAAATTCACTCAATCGCGGCCCAATTCACCACAACTCTACTCGAGGCCCGCTTTGCAGCCTGACCCACCATTAGCGGGCCCGCGCCATGCTCTACTCCAAGTAAAAAATGTCGTCGCCGACAGTATTCGAACCAGCGCCACCATTCCGGTGGACAAACATGTTTACCAGCAAGCTTCATATGGGAGTTGTGATCCTTTGACGCAGTACTCTCATTTTAACAACACTCCGCGCGTATCGCCTCACCAGGCACCCACCAGCTCGCGCGGCCCAACCAAGTCGCGGCCCGCGCCGCGCACTCCACCAGCCCGCGTCGCACCAAGCGCGACCCACCGGCCCGCGCGGCCTGCGCCGCGCACTCCACCAGCCCGCGTCGCGCCAGGCGCGACCCACTAGCCCGCGCGGCCCAACCAAGTTGCGGCCCGCGCCGCGCACTTCACCAGCCCGCGTCGCGCCAGGCGCGAACCACCAGCCCCCGCGTCGCACCAGGCCCAATCCTTCATGCCGCCCTGACTCCACTTGCGGGCTCGCGTCACGCATCCAACAAGCGCCACATCAAAAATATTATTTTCGTTGCGAAGATTCGAACTCGCGTCACTATTTCGCGTGCCAAGCAACAATACCAGTACACTACAAACATTGTTTGTGATTCAAAGATGCAGCACGCTATTTTAAAGTTTCTCAACTCCAACTCGTGGCCTGCTACGCTTCTGGCCCAACCCCGGCTCGCGTCTAGATTAGCCCACCAGCGCGCCCTGCTCTGCTTCCGGCCCAACGCACGGAAGTCTTCAAAAATAATTGTTGGCGCCGCGAGGGTTCGAACCCGCGCCACTCCTCCGCCTGGCATGCAATATTACCAGCAGGCTACGTGCGAGGCCTTTGTTCCAATGGCGCGGCATCTGATGTTTAACTACTCACGCCCAGTCAGTTCCACGGAACAAACAAAAAGTCGCAATAGTCATGAACTATTCGCGCACACTCAGTTCCACGGAACAAAAAATAGCGATAGTCCCGTACTATTCGCGCTCACTCAGTTCCACGGAACAAACAAAAAGTCGCAATAGTCATGAACTATTCGCGCACACTCAGTTCCACAGAACAAAAAATAGCAATAGTCCCGCACTATTCGCGCTCACTCAGTTCGAAAGAACAAAAAATAGCAATAGTCATGCACTATTCGCGCCCACTCAGTTCCACGGAACAAAAGTCGCAATAGTCACGAACTATTCGCGCCCACTCAGTTCCACGGAACAAAAAGTCGTCAAAAATATTATTGCCGCCGCCAGGAATTGAACTCGCGTCCCCCCTCCGCCAAACAAGCAATATCACCAGTAGGCTGTACACGCACCTTGTGATCCTCAGACGCACCACTCTTATTTTAACAACTTTTCGAGCCGCTTCGCCAACATAAAGCTAAGTACTCTGTCCCTCTATCATTATTAAATATTGAAATATTTTACTTGCCTGAGCGTTAATGGCGCTAATGGGGGGCGACACGCCTTAATGGAATACCCCAACTGGGGGGCAAGACGCAAGAAGCTGGCACCGCGTCAGTCAAACGCGCCACCAGCTGGGGGGCAACTGGGGTATATAGGGCTCCACCCAGAATTACCGACGAAGATTTAACCAAATATATATATATATATATAAGCTAGCGATGAGTTAAAACTCACCACCAGCTTGGGGGGCAATTGTTGGGGGTGTTACTAAATACTTCGTGCACAGGCTAAGTAATGGAGCGCACAATCAGCAATGGCAACACTCGGTATCCGCTACAGGTATATAAGGGCTTGAAGCCCTCCAAAGAAGGGGTCTTCTTTCCAGTCCCCTCACTTTCCACTTTCTCCTATCTCTCTACACTTTATCTCTCTATCTATTCTCTCAACTCTCTCCACAAACATACACTGACTTGATCGTCGGAGCTTAATCCGGGGGGCAACCCCGGCTCTTTCACAGGTTCTCTCCCTCCCGACGAGATCGGACGAACGGATGACGAGTCAACCCACACCAACAATCATTATTGTTCCTCCCACGAGCTAGTTGGCACAAACAGTATCAAAACAATCAAACAATGCATATATAGTTTAGGGTTAATATTTTCGTATGGACTGAACTTTAACCAAAATAAACATCCTGGCCAATCTTTTCGATCTATAACATCCTGGCTCGAACTATACACCAAAATAAATAATTTGGCCAGATTCGTCTTTTGACCGTCAACTTGGACGGTCAAACGCGTTGACCGTTAGTCAACGCGCCACATCACTGCCAACTCAGCAAGTTTAAACAATTTTTTTTAATTTACACCTATTTCATTTTCTTTTCATTTATCATTTTGACAAAAAAAAAATTCGGGACGAAAAGCCCCACCCCGAGCCCTAAACTAAACCCTACCTTATCCATATCTCAACCCCATCCCCATCCACAAATTCACCCGCCGTCACTCACCTTCTCCTTCCTTCGTCGAAGCTCCTCCATCGACCGACAAAAATCTCCGGTATTTCGTCCTTTTCTGCCACCGTCCTCTCCTCCACTGCTTCTCGTTTAAAACGTAAATCGAAACCCATTGGGGGAAAGAAAAACAAGATTAAGAGAGGAAGGCCAAAGTCCCCAAATTGATTTGAGTGAGCCAATGTAACGAAGGAAGCACCACCATGAAAAACACGATTTGTGCTTCCCTCAAATCAATTTCCTCTCAGCCATGGCTGCTCCATCTCCCCCATCCTCCCGATCTCGAATTCCCAAAATGCCGTCACCACCACCATCGTTCCTTCCGCCGCCGCGTCTGCCCAATCCCAGCCTCCGATCGCCACCCCGACCTTCCGCTCCTTCATCAACAAGATCTCCGACACCGTCCGCAACGACCTCTCGCAGCGCCGCCCGTGGGCCGAGTTAGCCGATCGATCCACCGATGCCTCCGCCGCCGCTGCCGCCTCCGCCGCCGTCGAAGGTTTGCAGGAGGCGCTGGGCTATTCTATCCTTCTCTACAACATCTTTGGCGGCCGGAATGGAGGAAGAGAGGAGGAGAGGGGAGGGGAGGAGAGGAGAGGAAGAAGGGGAAGAATCAGGTTAGGGCACGGGGTGGGGCGTTTTGTCCCGAACTTTTTTTTTTTTTTGTCAAAATGATAAATGAAAGGAAAATAGAATAGGTGTAAATTAAAAAAAAAAATTGTTTAAACTTGCTGAGTTGGCAGTGACGTGGCGCGTTGACTAACGGTCAACGCGTTTGACCGTCCAAGTTGACGGTCAAAAGTCGAATCTGGCCAAATTGTTTATTTTGGTGTATAGTTCAGGCCAGGATGTTATAGATCGAAAAGATTGGCCAGGATGTTTATTTTGGTTAAAGTTCAGGCCATACGAAAATATTAACCCTATAGTTTATGCAGAAAAATTTAAAACAAAAACAATGAATTGTGGACAATACATGCATTGTAACTATTTCAACTAAACAATAACAAAACCAAACCTAAATATGCAAGACTTGCTCATGGTTTTCTCGGATTGTACTAAGCAAATGTCCACCTGGGCATTGGAGAGCTAATGGGTGTAGGAGCCCTAGTTCGCCGTTCTGTGCCACCTGATCTTGCAAGAGGCGTCATCAAAAGCCATTTCATATAGTCCAACTCCCGCCTCTTCTTTCACTGCGCACTTTAGTTGTCCAGACCAAAATTCAGATTAATTCACTTCACGATATCAATTTCAAGTTTGGAAAATGCAATGCAATAGAGTTCTATGAACTTTAAGAAAATCAGCAAATGGATCCTTAAAATCATTTTTGGTCAAGAACTGTGAATGATATGTTATGCGCTCTTGTTAGTTGTTGGCTCTCGCTTCTCCAGTCCCAACCATCTACAGATGTATGCCATCCAAAAAAGAGGGGTGGAATAGTCTGTCTCAAGCACCGAGAGTGTATGTTATAGGCGATCAAGATACACCGAAACCCATAAGAATGCTGCACCTAACCAAATCTATACAACTGCCATATCACAATGTTCCAATCAGTCTTGCTTCCTTAGGTGCGCCCTCGATCTTATATCAGCCTACGAAGTGAAAACCGATGGATCAGGTTATCGGAGCTAAGCAATCATCACAAATAGCAGGTCGATTTGTGCGTCATAAAACCACCAACACTGAAACTGATATGACCATGGTTTCCAACAAGCTTCTCCAGTACTAGGCTGTTTACCTGTCGTATAGGTTCTGGCATGCGGTACTTGCAAGTCAATTTGACGATCTTGACTGCAGTTTCAAGGGAAATGCGATGGCCAACTGAAATGAAGATTGGCTTCATAGCGCCAGCTGAAGATCTCATTGCCTATTACAAAAAGAAAGCAGAATTGTCAGAACCAGACAGACACTGCCAAGAAGTAAACTTGAGGAGTTAGATGGAGTGGAAGTGGAAACTTGCACTTGGATGAGAAAACCACAAATCCTAGAGTAGAGAAAACAGAAAAGGACGGGCTCGGTTACCACTCCCCAAGTACATCCAGAGTATCCACTTAGAGTGATGTAGTCCCTGTCGTTGTTCTCTTCAGCTTGAAGTAATTGCCTCACTCCAGATAGGGTAAGCCCATCAACATGGTGCAGCTGGAAATATTCACAAAATAGAACTTCCGTCAAAAGAAAAGACAGCTCAAATCAAACGTGACGCTTTATTAAGAGTTGAGCATTTCAAGGGAGTGCAGCACATCAACAAGCAGGGAGTTACATTCTTCCCAATACCAATGGTTGGTAGATCAGACAGCACTCCCACATGGCAAGCTGAGCCGAAACCTACAGATAGTTTTGTAGCAAGTAGAACAGAAGTATTATTCACGGGCGCCAATCTCACAGGACACGCTCTGAGTCACTGAACATTATTCATTTTCCTGCTTCTGAATCAAGTGCTAAACATTAGAAGTCACACACGAACTATGTTTTGTCTATGTTCCTTCAGCATTAGGAGAATCGGGATTATGCAATCCTTTCTGAGTTTTTTTCTTTCAGCATGACAAGCCATGAGAATTCCGATGAGATTCAGTGGGGAGAAAGATAGGAAAAAAGGACTTGCCTCTTGGATGAAGCAACCCATTGCCGTCAACCATCAGTAACTGTGTGAACACACAAAGATGGGAAAATTCAGAGTCAAGTTTCAGTTACACTACAATTGGAGCATATCTATGGCGACGTGAAAAGTAACATATACAATGTACAATTGGATTCCCAAAGTTTCAAGCAATCCCAATGTTTGAGGGGATCAAATCTCGAAGGTAAGGGGTTTCTAAAAAGGTGGGTACTTCAACGGTTCAACCAACAAATTACTGATCTATAGAACAAGCAAGGAAATGATCAACACTGTTACCTGAGGGTATAACCTAATGTCACTCTTCTTCATCTTCTCAAGCAACTGCAGAATTATTGGGGCCTGGGTTACGAACAGGGAAAAGAAGAGCTTTCAGAGACAAGAAAAGAGAAGAATTCCAGAGAACGGTCCAAACAAACCGCCATTACTGCTGATTCGTAAAAATTTATAATACCTCCCGAAAGGCAAGAAACCCAGGTACATAAGGAACTCGAAGGTCAACGATGCAGAAGTCCTCATACACAACTTGCAGGTTTCGGAGATCTAAAACCACGAGAAGACCACACGCCATTGACGGATCTTCTTTGGAGTAGCTCACGTCAAACCCACCGACGTACCTCAATTGCTCCGCTCCTGATCCTTCTAATTCTTCCTCTGGTGGTTCGCTGGTATGTTCCGCCGCCGTCGACGGCGGATTGCTTCTCGGCGGTGTCCAATCGAAATCATCCCCCGTGATCAATCTCTTCTTTAGAGAATCTTGGATCCTGCAATTCCTTGTGATATAATAAGGTCCGCCTGATCAGAGAACAATTTAATACGACGTTGATATCAGATTCCATACTTGATCCAACTCGCCATCTCTGGATCAGATGATGTCGCCGCCGATTCTTCGGCTATTCCATCATCGTAGCCTAACACTGCTCCAGAATTCATTCCGTCACTGCTTAATGCTTACCCCTACTCTGGTGACTCCACTATGCACAGTCCTTTTTTTCCTAAGGCCGGAGTTACGATGTGGGATTTTTTTTCTGAAGGGTTAAAGGTCGTCCTAAAAATTACTAATCGTCGTCCTAACTTAATACGTAAATTACTTAATTACCCTTTTTAAAATTAAAACACAAACCCTAGCCAAACACTCCCCTTCCTCCACTTCGCATCACTTCCCCTTCCTCCACTTCCCTTCCCCCGTCCACCAACAGCCGCCGACCTTCCCCCGTCGCCCAGCCGCAGAGAGACCACGCCAGCGACCCGCCGGCCCACCTCGCCCTTCCCCCGTCGCCGTCAGAACTCGTCGTCCGCCGTCGCCGTCAGTCCTCGTCCTCGCCGTCGCCGTCGCAACCCTCCTCCAGTGGCCTGCCGTCCCACGCCGCCACGCACTCGCCGTCGCCGTCGCCCAGCCGTCGCCGTCAGCCCTCCTCTCGCCTGCCGTCCGTGCTCGCCGGAGAAGAAGGTAAACTCCTCTCGCACTCGCCGTCACCGACCGAAGACTTCGGTTGAGCCATGGTCAAACCGAAGTCAACATTCGGTTTGGTTGATTTTTAAATAATTTTAATTCAATTAATTAATAAAAATTGTTATTAAATGTTGTAAATTATGTAATAATTAGAAATAATTGTAGTTAATTATAAATAAGTTGTACGGTTTATAATTTATTATAAAAATTAAATTCGAATATTTTTATGAATTCAATTATGAAAAAAATATTGTGAATAATGGGAAAAATATTGTGAATAATGTATTTAAAATTATCTGAAATTTTTAAAAAGTATCAAAATTTAGAAATATAATCTGTAAATTTGTAATTAATGTTAAAAAAATATTAGAATAATGGGAAAATTAAAAAGTAGTTGAAATTAGACAAAAAGACTAAGAAAGTTGTAATTAATGTTAATAATAAATTATCAAAAAATTACAAAAAAATTAGAGAAAATTATCAAAAAATGTTAATGCATTTGATTATCATTAATGTAATCATGGTTGAGCCTCAATGTAATCATGGTTCTTCTTATAAACCTACAAACAAAGAAAGAAAATTAGGATACTAGATTAAGTAAAACTTCTAAAGAAGACATAAATGAAAATTTATTAAGAGACTAACCGTGTCGATTGCACCAGTTGCTGATTGAAGCCACTTCTTGAAGGATGAATGAGCAGATTCAACCCGATTTGAGCTTGTATTACCCAAATGTCGCACTTGGTTTGTATAACATGTTGCCCACATGTGCTTGTTTGGTAACCACTCATCTGACAAGTACCTCCAAAGACGTGGATACTGTACTCCCCAACTACGCCTGAAACTGTCTAAAGCTCTATTCATGCCTTCCTCACTGCCGGCATATACAATCCTTTTCCAAGACGCCATGATCAGATCCACTGTCGGTTGGGCTACATCTATCCCACAATGAGACGTCCTCCTCACCTCCGTTAGACACTGTGCTCTCACATTCCTGTCTACATGCCAAAGGCATAGTATATGAGTCGATGATGGAAACATTACCCCCACGGTCTCAACCAATCCTCCTGCTTTGTCACTAACAAATACATCTGGAGTGATAGGGCCAAGCAAATGTTGCAGATGCGTGAGAAGCCACTGGTACGACTCTTTTGTCTCGTCATACACTAGCGCAGATGCAATGACAAAGTTCAATCCCACCGGTGTCATGCCAACAATCTCAACCCATGGAAACTCATACTTGTTGGTCTTGTATGTTGCATCTATCACAATGACATGGTGCCAAGCTCGCAACATCAATATTGACTCAGGGTGGGCTAGGAACAAGTGTGTAAGCACGTTACGGTCATCCACATACTGCACATAGTAACCCTTCTCCAGAGCATCTTGAAAAGTGTACTGTAAGGCCGCCCTCTGACCAAGCTCTTCTTTTCTTATCTTATACAATGCGTTAGAAATCTGTCTTTTGTTCACCTTTCCATGCTCCCCTTTTCTCTCGTTCACTGCCTTGTGGATATTCCTTGGGGCGACACCGCCTAATCTCAGTTGTCTGATGTATTGCTTATCATCTTCGGTCAAAACATTCATCTTACTTGATCCATTCGGAAATAGCTCCAGCGGATGATTGTGAAAACCCAAATTAGCACCAGGATTCTTTCTATTAGCCACTGCTAGTATCAACCAATATCCATCATCTGACCGCTCAATCTTGATCTGAAATTCACACCCCAACTTTCCAGAAGAAGTAAGAGGCCTCCTTTCCTTAGCCGGATCAGAATCAGGAGCCTTTGAATTTTTCTTCCTACCATGAGTGCACTTCAAGTATCGTCGCCTACTATCTTCACTTGGATTTTTTTTATTTGATGCCTTCACCAAATAAAACCCAAAACCCTTGGAAATCTCAGTAGCTGCTGCATATGCAATCAAATCTGTATCGTATTTTACTCCATTGACGAATTCTGAGGTGTAATCTTTGCCATCCTCTCCGTAATCATCAATATCCTACAATGTTAGATCTCATGATATAAGTAGGACTCCACAATAATAGAAAATCTAACGACTACATTTAATTTAATAATTATCACAAATAATTTAGCATTCTCTATATTATCCTAAGCAAAATCCAACATTTAACACGACAAAATTTAGCATTCTCTATTATTTACATACTATACATCTAATGTAAGAATCATATTAATCACATTCTATAATTTTTTTATTGCGTATTATACATCTAATCTTAATTTTGTATACAAAAACAATCAATTTCACAAATAATTAGGCTCATAAATTTTAAAAATAATATAAACTAAAATTCAATAAACAATCTTATAGACCAAACTATAAATCATAACAATAAAATAGAAATATTTGATATAAACTTAAAAAAACCCAAAAACCACCAACAGAAGCAAATTTTCGGTTCAACCATGGCTAAACCTAACCCAATTTTCGGTTTCACCATGGCCAAACCGAAATACAGGTTCAGTGCCACCGTGGACCAACCGAAACCAATTTTCATTTCCTCCATGGCACAAACGAAGCAGATTTTCGGTTCATCCATGGCTCAACCGAATGTGATTTTCGGTTGGTCCATGGTTCAACCGAAACCGAATTTCGGTTGGACCATGGACCAACAGAAAATCACATTCGGTTGAGTTTTTTTTTTTTTTTAAAAACGAGATTTTTACCTCGTCGGAGTTGCTACTCATTGTTCGGACGTATGCTCGACGATTTCGGCTTCCAAATGTCGATGATGAATTCAAGAGTGTGGGAGAATGAGTGTTTTTTGTTTTCTAAGTGAATGTGGTGTTTGTTTGCTAAAGGAAAGGTAAAGATGTCAAAAGGTTAAAAGTGTAACTTTGTTGTTTTTTAGGACGATCATTAGTAATTGTTAGGACGACCTTTATCAACTCCCTTTTTTCAGTACTATTTAATTTTTTTTATTTTATAAACATAGCAACTAACCCACACAAATTTCAAATATACCACCATTTATAAAAAAAACTGTTATTGGGGAGGCGGTTTGTGGAAGAACCGCTTATTGAGGAGGGGATTAAAATTATGAGCAGAAACCGCTCCCTCAATAGGCGTTCTAGTGGCTGACCTAGTAGAAACCGCCTGTTGAGGGAGCGGTTCTAGGTCTTCAACCGAAACCACTCCCTTAACGAGCAGCTTGCCTTGCCGATACACAAACCGCACCCAACCTTGCGGTTTGTGTGTCGTCCCCATTCCCCCGACATGTCACCATGCAGGGGTTTGCAGACATGGGGTTGCATGGCAGATGAAACACCCCCCCCCCCCTCCCCTTGCGGTTTTCAGTAATGATTTTGCATTTAAAAGGCAGCCCCTGAAACCTCAGATCTTCACCCCTCTCTTTATTCTTCTTCAATTGTCTGTTGTGCACCCTACTTATTTAGAGTTTTTGCGATTAACGTTACTTCGTAAGTTTATTTTTTATTACTTTTTGTTGTGATTTGTGATTTTTATGGTATTAACTGAATTACGAATTTATTGCAGATTGCATTCCAAAAGTTCACGCTTGGGTTACGGTGGAATGGTTACACGAAAGAGACCGAAAAGGGGGTAAGTTACGTCGGTGGTAATTTTCATAAAATGAAGGTCTCTACGAGACCGATGTTTAAAGAGCTCTATCAAATGTGTATTGAGGTTACTTGCATGGATGACACGAGAAGAGTTGATCGTATGGTGTATCAATATCCAAACAGACAAGGTGGGTCATTGTGGCATGAGGAATTCCTTATAACCACTCCGAATGAAGTAGATGCCATTGTTGAATTTTTCAATGCCAACAATGTTTCCAAGGCAGAGATGTTCGTTTTCACGGAGGCGGCCGGAAGCGATGAAGGTCATTCTGGAGATGGGCAAGCATCTGGTATCAATGGAGGTGGATTATATGAAGATCATCCTTACCAAGGTTACCATGATCCTCATTTCTACCATGAGTACTAAGAAGGAGGTGAAGGTCATCATCAAACCTTCCCATCATATGAAGAAGAAGTCCAACGGTACCATGACAACCAACAAGAAGGCTACCAGTACCAACCCGAGTACAACTTCCATTCAAGCAGCAATAGTTTTCACAACTACCATTACATAGTTGATGAAGGTGTCTTTCATGATCTGGATCAAATGGAAGATGTCCCGCAAGCACCAGTAAGTGACCCTTCCGATGAAGAAGAAGAAGAAGAAGAAGGCAAGGTCAGTGCAGACAGCTCCGACCCTCTTGAAGGTGTTGATGATGTAGTCCCAGAGTCAGACTCAGATGATGATGAGAGGTCTCGTGACCGTGTACCTATCTCGTACTAAAATCACATTCCAAACGAGAATTGGTATGTCGACGCCAACATGGAGCCTCCAGAGGTGCCATTATGGGGTCCACTCACTGGGTTTATGAAGGGCCAACAATTTGGTACGAAGGAGGTGAGACACACTATTGAGACTGAAGCAATAACTCGAAGTTTTGAATGGCGCACAACTCATATCAAACTGAACCTGCATTCTTACCACCATAACCTGGACGCAGCCCACCCTTTCTA